CCCATTCTAGAATGCAAACCTCAGTGCACAATTTCCAAAGTAAATGTTGAAAGAAAAAAACATTTGAACCTATGGGCTATCTTTAGTAAAGGTAGAAAGGAGGAGTAGAGAGTGCAAGAGCTTTGGGGAGAAACTTGTGTTCAAATCTCAGCTGCCAATCGACTAGCTGCAGGACCGTGGGCAGTTTGCTTATCCTTTCTAAACCATAGCTTTCTCATCTGTGAAATGGGGATAACTATGCCTATTCACAGGTTTATTGCACATCAAGTGCTGGAGCCCTCATGTGTGGTAGTGATATTCCTGTCACGGGGTGTTACTGGTGGTGCAGGTGGCATTGTTGTTAGTGCTGTTACTGTTTTTAACAGCCACAAAAGGAGAAGGGGCATATTCTCAAGGCCTAAAAGCCATCATCATAATAGCTCGACTAGAAAAACTGGGATTGGCACAAATTTCCTATGAACACAGCATCCTGGGAGAATAAATAATTCTAAGTAAAATCCAAACAAGTAACCATCCCAAAGACGAATGAAACAAACCTAGGTAGACCCTGGAGTCAAAGAAGTGGCAGCTACTTCATATACTTCATAGTGTCTCTGACCAGATTCCAGGATTCACACAAATTCACAATGGGTACTGGGTTGTGTTCAGTAGTCTAGGTTTGCCTTTGAACTGTCTCCCCTTCCTAGTTATGGGAAACTTGAGAAAGTTGCCAAGTAGTAGCTCTTGACTTCACCATGTTCCAGTGCATCCCTTTCATATTTTGTGGAACTCAAAAGGCTAAATTTGACCAAGTACCAAGACACATTTTAAGTAAAACCTAACCTAACTGCAGGTCAGCTCTGTGAAGAACAACAGTTATCTGCCACACAAAGACAAAGTGAAGTCTTATTTTTATAACGAAAAATTAACCTCTGCATTAAAGTTGCACCTGAATGCAAAATCATCTTCTTTGACCATTAGTACCACTTAAACTTCAGCAACTTAGTGGATCTCAGTCTTGCTTTGTTTACTACTTAGTGCCAATAAGAAAAAAAAGCCTGGTGGGGACAAATGTCACTCAAGAGGAACAACTCAAGGTACACAAGTGCTCTCGCTGGCCATGGGACTGGAAAGCTACATACGCACAATCCTCACTTCAATTACCACAGAAACACTGCTCCATAGTCACATAATGCCTCTGGCTTCTTAATCCACTTTAGTTAACAAATTAACCAAATCAAGTACATTTTCTGGAACTTTTACTAAAACCCTTATGTCACTCATATATATGTCTTTGATAAATTCTGCTGAAAATCTGATAGTTTCTGCTATACTAGCAAAATGTTTGTTTTTCCCAAGAATATCATTTAATGTATTAAGCAAATGAGATCTAGAGAACTCCATGTAGTTTCTTTTCCATCTCAGCTGCTGTTTGGAGTGAAGTTTTCTGTGTCATCTCAGTAATTATTATTACTCTAAGGGTTGAGTTTTTATATTTTTCAAAAAACACAACATTCTCCCTGCCCTTCCATTTGTGATTTTTGGAGTTTCTGTAGCCATTTGCTCAGACAGGCAGGAAGAGATTGCCTGAAAATAGAGCTCACATGAAGGAAGACAAGATAAGAGATGGAATGAGAGAAAATGGGATATGCTAATATCTTTTGAGTCTCTGAATCAAGCTGTGCCTGAAGCAATACCCCTGTTTTTTTCCAGTAAATTTTTTTCCAATAAAGTTCCTTTTGCCTTTAGCCACTTTGAAATAGATTTTCCTTCACTTAAAAGTTTTAGCTAACAATGAAAAAGGGGTTTGAGATTATTTGACAAAAACTGCCATTACTGTCATTCATTTTCTTAAAAAAAAAAAAAAAAAAGGCTTTATGAATGACCCAAGAAAGTAAAACTGTTGGACATCATGTTTATGTCACATCAAATTTATAATAAAAATAAGTTACACATTCTTTCAAAGGAATTAGCATTAAAGAAAGGAAAAAGAGAAAACAAGCCTTTCAACTGCCATTCTTATTGACAGTTACCCACAAAAGCAGAAAAGAGGAGCTTAGTAAAGAATCTTTAGACACAAAAGCAAGAGAAGGAGGAGCACTGCAATACCTACAAGAAACTAATTTTCCAAGAAATACACACAATGTTCTAAGTGCAAACTTGGAACATACCTGCCAGACCAAATCAGGATCAAAATTAAAACCTGAAGCTTCCTGCAAGAAGATAAATCACAAGCAACTTAATGCACTTTGCTTCCTTTCATTTTCATGTTCATTCAGGTGACTTCAGCCCCCAGGCTCAATTGGCTGGCAGTGGATGTGATGTCTTCAAGTGAACTGGCCCCAGTTTGGTGCAGGCAGATGATATTCCCCAAAGTTCATCCCAGAGAAACATATTTTCACAACTCCAAAGTCCAGAGCAGGTACACAAACATCTAAAACTACCACACTGTGGTTCTAAATAGTGCTTGAAGTTAGGCAAAATTTCAGATTTTCACAACAAATGTCTTTTGCAAGTTTATGCAAAGTGTCTATGTGGGGACAATGGGGGATTCTGAAGCTCACCCTTAGTACCTCTAAGATGCAAGAAACACATAGGGATAATCCCTCAGCCTAATTCATCTAATCTCCCTAAAACTACAGGGTCAATTTAGACTAAGAAATCCCTTCTTAATTTTAAATTATATCAAGGCACTAGATGAGACTGATGTTTAACCAGGACTAAAATACAACAGGGTCTCAAGTTCTACTCACTAGCCTTAAGGGTCAGTTCGACTTGATAGTCAACTCTAAAGCCTGTACAATATGAACTTCTAATATCCCCACCAATTTCATAGGGGTGTAATGTACAAAATCAGATGAGATCACAGCCTCCAGCGTCAGCTATCCACATGGCTGAGATGACCCTCCACCAGCTGCCTCCATAACTCAATTTAGGTATGTTGAGGATAGATGCTAATGGGACCCAGACTTCTTTGTTGACAAGATAGAAGGCAGTGCTTCTGTAAGTTAACAGGCATTCAAAAAGACAACAGAAAAACTTGAGGATCAGTTTCCTGAAAAATATATTGATCTTCATTTGTCCTACAAATACAAATGCCTTATGCCTACAAATCAGCAACATTGGCATTCATAAAAGGAGAACTCTAGGCTCAATTTACTGATAATATATGGATATAAATTTGCCCTAGAATTCAAGTTTCTCTGCTTTCTCATGTAGAAGGCCAAAGTAAGTTTTTTATTTATAATTTTTTGTTTTATAATAAAATATAATGATAGAAACAGCAAACTAGGATCAAACAGATTTTCTACTTTCAAAAGTCAGAAGAAAGGTACCAATTGTCTTTGTATGGAGACATTTACCAGGAAACTACCCACTATATTAAAAGAGATGTTTCTCCTGTTTTTTCCAAAGGCCTTGGGAACGCACTCTTTTTTGTTTTTTCTTAAACTATGATTTGGAAACCATACAGCCTCTTCTCCATTACTATTTGCGCTGACTGGGAAGGTGGGTGTGGAGGTGGGTGGAAGGGGGACTGAGTCACCCTTTGCAAAAAGAAAAATCAACTCTTTTGTCCTTTTGTCTTTCATTTTTCCTCTTTTTTTTTTTTTTCCTTTTTTTAAGCCTTGACCAAGTATCAGGTTTGGTTCCAATGTGAAGTGAGGATTAAACTCTTAATTATGAACCACTGGCCTACTGTACCCCAGTGTAGACTGTTCAGTTTCTTTTCAAAATGTTTAAATTACATACGTTTAAAACAACTGATGAGCCAGAGTATAATAATATTTTAATCCTATTGACATTTGGTTCCTTCAATGATATTTTTCAAACCTATATGCTACAAATACATTATGAGTGCCTTGACTCATGTAACCTCATTTGAGGGACACATAGTTTTAAAGCAAATGACCTATATTAGTTTCACAAAAATCCACTTGAATGAAGAAATTGACATTGAATAGAAAAAAACAATCCCTACTCAGAATTGCACATGCCAAGAATTCAAGAGCTCATACTAGTTTCTTTTCCTTCAAAACTTGGGAATTTGGGGACAGATAATTCAAAATCATATGCTGCAAGAAGGAGAGAAGACTCATTATTCTATCAGCAAGCTTTAGAATTCTCTTGCCGGCCCATGGTGACCGGCAAACTCCCTGAGTGTTAAACTTGAGTGTGAAATTTTCAGATTGCAAACATCTTGGATATAAATTTTTTGTTTCTTAATGGAACACATTAAATTAAGAATTATTTATTATAGAGATGAATACTTTACTATTTGCATCCTTCTGGCAAAAATTGTAAATAAAAAGATTTCAAATTTCTAGATACTAGCAAAGAAATTGAGTTTCATTTAGATCAGTTTCTTAATCATAGATCATGGCTTGGCCATGCTCATTTACTTCATGATTCCTTAAATGCCCTAAATCCTCTCAGAATGATTTCTCTATTCCTTTAAATAGTGTATCTCTATGCCTGCACAGCTAAATAGGATACTCTGCAAGTATTTAGTAAAGTGTTGTTACTTCCAGTCTTGGTTAGGAGAAAATACTGGTGTCACAAAACAGTATTATTTTTTGAAAAGTAAATTTTGCTGATAGCTTAATTTTAATTATTTAACAATACCACTCCATGTAAAATAACTTTCCTTTGCCAACTCTTAATTTTTCAAAGGTGTCTTTTCATCATGATGTGAATAGGAGGAAAAGAATTATTATAGCTTAAAAATTTTACTTTTAAAACACACACAAAACCTCCCTAGGATTAGACATGCTCTGCAAGGAACCCAGCTCCTTTCAACCAATGGATACTTGAGCCCTTTATTCTTTAGCCTAGAAAAGGCATCCTAGTTAAAGGGCCAATAAATTAAATGTGCCCAGAAAGAAAAATAATCCAGAGCTCAAGCACCCAGCAGGGTGCCTAGAGAAAAACACAAGGTTCATTTCACGTTTATATTAGGCACCATCAAGTTAGAACAAACTCCCAAGGCATAACTGTTTCTGACAAAAGTGCACAGTTCCTACCTTCATTTCAATGACAGTCTGGAGAGCCTTCGTCTTGGCTGGCTCTGGCTGAAGTTGGCTTCTTCGGTGCAATTCCTGGGGAGGAACACGATAGAAATAAGCCTGACGGTTCATCCTTCCGTTATAGCATGACCTTTACACAGGTACTATACAGGCTGCTGCGTCCAGGTTCTCTGTGCACAGACATAAACAAGCCACAGGTGCCTCTTCCCCCACACTCTTTAGCATCCCTCCTCCCTGGAGCCTGCGTTCCGGTGAAAAGCTCCTGGCACATGCGCTATTTCTGAAACTTCCATCAATAATTAATGTCAACTGTGACAAAGCCAGCAAGTAATCATAGTCCAAATACTGTTCAACACTGGGGCTGATGCCCAGACATCAAATCATAATTTACTAAATTACATGACTCTGTGCTCCCAGTAAAACACAGCAAGGAAACAGAGGAAAAGAAAATGACTAACGTGGCTCCAAATCCGCCACACGCATGGCATTTTGCTACCGAGGTAGGTTTGAAATGAGCAATTTAAAACCATTTCAGTACAAATGTGTCACTTTTGAGAATGATCTGATGAAACCCTGTGAATCTCTTGCTTCCAAATTTACAGTTTCAGTCCTTGTTTAAAATCACATCTGTGAGTGATATATTTATGTATCATGATGCCGAGAAATTAAAATTGGCATTAGTATCAACAGTGTTAGAGGGGAAAAAAAAATTGTTAAAGCCAGAAGTGGACCCAAAAACTCCTGGAGGAACACTTCTTTAGGTAAAAAACAAACAGCATAATTAAAATTTTTATCTTGAAGGGTCACTTTTTATATGCGTCTCCTCAAAGTAACAGTTCTGTTGAGACTTTGAAAAGTTTTTTTAGCAGAATAGAAGAGACAAGAACGATGTGTGTTCAAATCACACTTTGATTTTCTTAACTATCAACAGTTTTAGGAGAGCAGGCAATGGCAGGAGTAAATAAAATTGCTCACACATACCCATGCCGCTGATTCAGGTCACCTATGGAATAATTCTGTCAATACTTCTGCTTCCACAAAAATCAGTTTAGAGTCAACAAGGGGTAGTTCCAGACTTTCAGAACCACTGGATCACAAACATTTACTTTTTTGGGGAGGAGGGATGGAGTTTCACTCTTATTGCCCAGGCTGAAGTGCAATGGCACGATCTTGGCTCACTGCAACCTCTGCCTCTCGGGTTCAAGAGATTCTCTTGCCTCAGCCTCCCAAGTAGGTGGGATTATAGTTGTGTGCCACCACATCCAGCTAATTTTGTATCTTTAGTAGAGATGGGGTTTCACCATGTTAGCCAGGCTGGTCTCAAACTCCTGACCTCAGGTGATCCACCCACCTCGTCCTCCCAAAGTGCTGGGATTACAGGTGTGAGCCACTGTACCCAGCCCATTTACTTTTTTAAAAAAAGGAGTTATAAAAGGGGACCAATATCATTTCTAGCTTTCTGCAAATAAAGGCATTTAAAATTAACTCTACCTCTACCACTATCATCTACTATGACTGTCACTTCAAAAAGATAGAACATGTTAATGTAAAAGCTGTCAGAACACTCACGACCCACAACAAAAGACAGTCCTATCCAGGATAATATAAGCAGGCAATCTTTTGCACACCTCGTGTTATGCTGTTCTTATTATATTTGCCAGTGGCCCAAGAAATCTTACAGGTGGACCTTAGGGCACATGTCCAAAGACCAGTGCAGGGGAGTTAATGTTCCAGCTCTGGACCAGGCATCTGAAAAAAATATTTTCTTCTCAAAGTCATCACTGGCACAAATCAGCAGCCCTGTACAAAGCTGTTTCTCAACCTCCAATTTGAGAGCTATGTTTCCTAACTATTCAAAATGCTCTCACATCAGTTAGGATATTTCCCCCCCTAGCATATCCCTGGGAAGGGATGAAGTCAAGTATTACCGAACCTTTATAAATAGAGGAACAGAAAGAGATCCTGTGTCCCTCTAGAGAGACTGGACTGCAATCATCTGGTAACACTATCATTTTTACTCTCTGGAGATGGCAAAGGTTTTCTGAAGGAATGACCTTAAAGGCAGCTGTCCTTTATTGAGCATCTATGACGTTCCTGGCACTACTTGTCTCATTCAAGCCTCAGCAATACTAAATGAAGATGTTGTAAATGGTGAGTCCAATGGGCTGCTGAAAATTTAAAAACCTGCACCCTCCATGGTCAATACCAAGCTACCCAAGTGGCATGCCTGAATGCAGACTTGGGAAGAGAAACACAATAGCACCCCCATTGTATGGTATTTTCTACCACATAGACGCAATATATGTAACAACCTCAAGAGCTTAGATAATAGTAAAGTATAACAAGAAATTAGGAAATTATGAGTTTTTAATATAATTATTTGTGAGTTAGTATATGTAATTTGTAGCATTAGTTATTAGAACAGGTTTCTAATCAATTTGGAGTCAGTATGCTGGGTTTTTTCCAGTTTTTATGGGTCACTACAATCCAGTACCAACACAGCATCGGTGGATCTCATGAGATTTCAACCTCCACAAAGAAAAAATCTGCTTGGTCCTCAACATTACTTCCAAGATTGCTGGAGTTCACTGGACCAATAAAATCTAATAGACAAGAAAACAGAAAGTAAGTCACTTGTCAGAGTTTCTCTGTAGGAAGTGGGAGATGAAATACATTCTGATACCAGGTGGCATCAAAATCATCTTTTTAAAAGCCAGGAATACAATTCTTAATAATTCCATACCATAACTACTCCCAGTTCCGGAATAAAAATTATAACTTGAGGAGAAAGGTTAAGCTTGTATAAAACAAGAAAAAATAATGAAGAAATAATTAAGCAACACAGTGAAAACAAAAACCACAGAGTAAAGGCATGTTCTGTTGTAATTTCTGCCAAACATGAAAACATTGTCAACAGTGAACATGCAATAAAAAAGCTAAACCTGTAACAATAGTTATGCAAAAATGGAAACAGAGTGCTCTTTGCTACAATTATACAAATTATAATATAAACCAGCTCAAAATCCAGATTGGGCCCTTACCCTCTGTGTCACTCCTTTAAAAATAAAATAAAATCTCCAATTACCAAAGAATTGTAATTTTCTTAGTTACAGTATTTTTCAATCCTTACTTCACAGATTCTGAGAATTACCCTGATTCCTAAGGTGTTGGGTAAATGAAAATTGTAATCTATATCCAGACTACATGGACCATCTGAAAATTCCATCTCAGACACTTCATCTATCTCTGAGATTTGGGATTATTATAATACTCACTCTGGCAGAGGACCGGTTGCCCAAAGAAAGTTTGTGCTCCTTTTTCATAGTATAGAGTTGTTGGTAGGAGGCCCCACAACCACTACCTAGATAGGGCCATGGGACTTATTTCTGGCCAGTGGGATGTGGTTAGAAATGAGCAATTCAGCCAACTTCCATAAAAACTTCCTAACTAGTCCTCAACTCTCCCTCTTTTCCTATCTACTGGCTAGAAGTCAAGGAATTCAATACCCAAGAAGATGCTGTAGCCTCAAGATAAAAGAAGCCCACACTTCTGAAACATCATTTGAAAGGCTGATGAAGACCTACATTGCATGGTTATATGAAATAAAAATAAATTTCTATTACGTTAAGCCTAGGAGCTTTCAGGGTTTATCTACAGAAATTCCAGCTCTCTCTGCTTTAAGAATGCAATGGCTGCAAGGCAAAATAATACCTTATTAGTCCTGTATTATTTGTTGCTTTTGAATCACCAAAGTGATTTTAACATGTGATTGCTTGCCAAGTTTTCTAAACAGACAGTAGGATAAATTGGTTGCTGGAGGCTCCAACTGCCCCTAACCATCTGAGAGGTGCACCCACCATGCACTAATCCTAAACAACTAATGAATTTCCCCAGAAGCATTTGATGTCCTCTCACATAGGTTGAATGAGTGTAAGATTTACCTTACTGTGATAGTTTTTCATGACAGTATTATTACTTCATGAAGTGCAATGGTACTTAAACTTTTCTGAGTCACAGATCTCTGTAAAAATCAAATGCAAGGAGTGGATTCTCTCTGGAAATGGACACAAAAGCACATATAAGCAAAATGGTGTGCACCATGTCAGCTGGTTCACAGAGCCTGTATCAGCACCCTAGAAATTTACCTTTGAACTAGACTTTGGACTAAGAACAACTTATTGAGAGGCACGAGCACCGTACTAGAAGCCAAAAGTCAGGAGCCTGCAGTCCAGCCTGAGACCTTGGGTATGCTGCTTCCCCTCTCTGACTGCAGAATCAGGAGCTTTATGAATAGGTTTCTAATGTTCTTCCAACTCTAAGAACATCCAGATTTTTAATAGACAGTTGATTCTGAAATGAGGACCTCTGGCTGGTATTTCTAGTCCCACCCATTCTCACTTTTAAAAACAACAGAAAAAATAAGAGAAGAAAATTGGCAGCATCACAAAATTTAATATCTCACTATGATATCGACCCCTACATTATATATTTTCCTGTAATTTCATGACAAAGTTGGCTTTAGCTAGTGCAAAATTGCTAGCTCTTTCAGCTGATTAGCATGGAAATATATGAAGAACCTAGAATTTTGAGCATGAAATCTCAAGTGGTTCATCAAAATAATACTTCTTGGCATTAATGAGAATCTAGAGTCTAGTGAGTTAATCTGGATGGACACTAGTGTCCAAGATGAACCTGGCAGAATAAAGTTCACACACACCACATACTTTTTTCAATAGACCAAATAATAATAATAATAATAATAACAACTAAAAACTTAACTTTCATTCCAAAGGTGATTACTATTTTTATCTGGCCCTTATCCATTATTGTTCTGGAAATCTATCGCTGTATAACAAGCCACCCCAAACTTAATGGCATCAGACGACCACCATTGTATTATGCTCATGAATTCTAGGTCAGTTTCTCACATATGAGTGAGAAACTACATGGTCTTTTATTACCTAACCTTGAAAGTCCTACAGCACCACTTCTGTCATGCTCTGTTGAACCATTCACAAGCCTGCTTCCTAAAGGAAGGAGTGCCAAAGAATTTGAAGCCTTGTTTTAAAATT